TTTTTTTTTTTTTTTTTTTTTTACAAAGGGATAGGATTTCATTTGCATTTGTGTGGTCAACTATCTTTGTATTGGTATCGTGATACTGGTAGATTAAGCATTTCAAAACACAAAGCGTATTTAATTAAATAGGTTAGTTGCAAAGAGCCTTCCTCCAATTTGCGGCAGTTTCTCTGCTTCATAAGAAACAAAGTAAACTAATGTATAATTTCCAATAAGAATTAATGTACTTTATTTCATGTCATTTTAAAAAAATGACAAAAACAAACATTGGGAGCATAAGACTCCTAACTTTATAAGCCACTCTAACCTAAATCAAAGTGGCTTCTCAAAACAGCTGAGCATCCACAATCCCCACAGACTTCACCATTTCTGGAAATTTAGGCCATTTTGCTTTTTTATTTAGGTGCCTTCCACTGAAAACACTCTCCGTCATCAACTTGGATAGCTAGTTTGAAGGGAACAGGAGAAATTTATTGTTCAAAAATATAAGTATACCCTATTTTGTTGCAGTGTGTTTGCGCCACTCTACATTTCTCTATTCCACTGAAGGAAGCAAGACGTACACAACATTTTACTGCCTTTAAAATACATAAGCACTTTTACTTAGTGTAGGCTTTATATTTTCCGTACCCCAAAGGAAGAAAGTGTTTTAATATGAACTACAATTTTAGGCTGCCTATACATGTGCTCAGGGGTGGGTAGGGGCGTTTTAATTAGAGCTCTAATTGCTCTAATTTAAACACCTCACCTTCACATGTATTAAGGCCCTGTGCATAAAAATGGCCATGGGACACTTTATCTAACCCTCATTTGAGAAGGTTTAGATAAAGTGCCCATGCAGCCATTTTTAAACATGTGGGGCCTTATACACGTGACAGTGAGGAGCAGACTCTATTAATCGACTGCTCTGATGTGTTCTAATTAGCCCGTGAGCTAAGGCAGCCTTAGTTTTTCTTCCCCTCCCATTGCTAACACGGCACCATTTGAACTAAATGTTAAGGTCTGTTTATCTGTGGAGTGCTCTTGACCATTATGAGCTCTGGTAAAATCCTCCTTGGTTTCTGGATGGAACCGGGAACAAGTTGACAAGAGTCATAACAAGAAGATTAGAGAAATTTCTCTCTCTAAAAACAGCTTTTAGACAATGTAATCATAAACCCATTCATGGAAATACGGTTTCACTAAATGACTAGGTTTAAAGAAAAACAGTTGGATTTACTATACTATACATATAAGTCTAATCATCCAAAACAATTTGGAAAAAGGCTCTGTGTGGAACATTTAGATTCCAATTATCTACACTTACTCTTAAAATATTTGAATCCTATCTGTGTTTACAAGTGCATAAACAAAAAAGACTTAAATGAGCTTAGCAGATACCAATTAGAAATAATAATTTAAAGGCAAAAAGGGAAGAAAACACCAAGTTACTAAGTGATATATTTCACATTATCACATTGTATATGTTCATTACTGATGACAATACTCTGTCCAATTATTCAGAAACATTAACATTTCACTCTCCTTTTAAAAAATAAAAAAGGAGAACCGAGGCTGCTGTATTCAGAACAATTTTAATACTTCAGGGCACCCTCATGACCTCTGCAGGAGTAGCACTAAAAACATCAGTGTTCAAGGTAATCAGTTTACATTGAATCTTTAAGGAACACACTCCTGTCAGACACTGTACAGTTTAATCTCCTAGAGAACTGCATTCTCTCTGCTCCAGTAATTGTTTCCCTGCTCTCACCCCCACTGCCTTTTAAATCCACACATTATTTTACTAGATTGAAGCAATCTGCCTGGGCTATGCGCTTTGCTGGAGTCCCAGCCAAAACGTTAGAGCATTCCAGAGAATATAGTTTGCTTCTACAGGAATACATACGATTTCTGGCATGCAGTCAAGCACCTTTGGAAAAGCATGTCAATAATATAAATCCAATTCAAGCACTGCATTTAGTGAGTACAACTTTGTCACTCATTCTTCAACTCTCAGGCATATAGCAATATATGCTAAAAAGGGTTTTTATGTAAAGTAAGGAAAGGTAAAAGGCTAAAATGCCTAAGCCACGTAAACTTGAGAAATTCTCCATAGCAGTGCATGCTGAAAATGATAATCCAGTTTTCATATGATAGTCAACAAAATTAACAAGTTTTTTAGTTATTCTTTCTAAGTTATAGGCCTTTTTTTACCTCTGATTTAGTTTTAACTTTATTCTCTATAAACGTGCTGGCTATGGAAAAATCTGCAGCATTCTGATGTGTGAAAAGTTCCGAAAAAGTGCTGGAATTACTCCGACTTCTTGTGTTCTTCAGTATGAGAAAGTACCTTTCTCCTCTGATGTAGCATGTGGAAATACAGCTGAGGGAAGACTGAAAAGAGAACAGACTTATGTAAACAACAGTATAAAGTCAGGCTTGTGACCCGACAGAAGGCACTTACATACTCAAGGTCACACTCTCTCTCTGAAAATCTGAAATTGCTTATCCACTTCTATCTAAAATCCTGCAGAAAGAGAGAGGCAGTAGTAACAGAGGAAACGGAGATGCAGATTTTTTTCACTAGAGATCTGAGGTGCAATTCATCAGTTGTGGCCGGCCCGATCACTTTTTTAACGTCAAAAAGAATACCTTATTTTTCTGTTTGATTCAACGTAGATCTTCATTCCAGACTACGTTTCAATGTTAAAGATTACACCACTCTAGTCCCAGGGTGCTAGTACTTTTTTAAGCAACTTGCACTAAACTTCTGGAATTCACTGCCACAGGTGCTGGAGAGGCAGATAGCAAAGCCTTGTTCAAAAAGGGACTAGATACATTCATGGGTGATAGAATTATTAATAGCTATTAAACAGAACGGTTGGAGATGTTTCCTCTGGCATCTCTAACCCAGTAAACGCTGGATGCCAGGGAGTACTGAATAGGAGATAGAGCACTCTAGATATATCCAGTCCAAGTCAATGCTCTCCCTCTGCAGCATCCACTTCTATCACTGCTGGAGACAGGACGCTGAGCTAGATGGACCACTGGTCTGACCCAGTGTGGTGCTTCTTGTGTCCTCAGAGTCATCTCTCTAAGCAGAAGCTATCTGTATATAGGGAGGGAAAAATAAAAAGGCCCCTGGACTGCATACACAAAATAAGAAAAAGGGTCCTGAAGGGAGATTTAAAAAAAATGAAAAAAAAAAATGCAACAATTCTGGAACAGTTTCTTGGATCCTGAAAGTGGGAAGCACAGGGTTGGAAAAGCAAAGGGAATGGAAAACTGCATTTATACAAGATAAGCTTTAAAGAAAAGCACGGTAAAATGGGAGGTTGGAGAGATGCACATGAATAACTGAACAAGCCTGAATGCCCAGCTCCAAAGCAGTTCATCTAGTGAACGACATGACCCAGACAAGGCTAGTTTATACCAGCTGTGTTCTCTAAGCAATTTTTGCACACAAAAAAACCCAACAACAACAGTCCTGCCCTACTTAAATTGAACACTAAAAAAAAAAGTTTCAGGTGCCCCCGTTCAGAAATCAGCAAGATTTGTTCAAGCTTTTTTCACTTTGCTCTCTCTAGCAGAGTACAAAAATAGTATTTCTCACAAAGACTACAGTCCATTCTCTGTACTAACTTGTTTCAAACTCTTTTTGGAAGATTAAAGTTCTGTTAATGGAAAAAAAGAGACACAGGAAAGTGATAAAAATGGTTACCATTTACCAAAAGGCATTATGGTTATTTGATATTTCAGTAAGGGAGAAGAAACAGACCACCTTCGCCTGATCTTTTTTTTTTCCAAGTAACTCTCAAAAATGATGCTGCTACCTGTAAAAGTAGCTACTTATGTGTGTACTTTAATCCCCCATTTTCTAGTTGGCCTCTACTGTTTTAACATAATAATCTAATTTAATGCTGTACTTACGTGGAATGTAAGAGATCATAACCAGGATCAGGAATGTATAGTAGTCAAAGGAGAAATTGTATTTATTAGGTAAACTAATGGAATACAAGCCAGACTGTCTGACGAAGGGTAAAGCAGCATATATTGTGAGTAATTCGCCTAAGACTCCCATTGGATACAGTACTATGAACAGCGTGTACCTAGAACAAAGTATTTGGGAAAAGTTTTAAACAAGTCAGACTGGATTCTTACAGGTTTTTGCTAAACAAAGTTATGCTTACTTAAGTGTCTAAACCTCTCAAATAAATTTAATATTTATATTGTTTCTCTATTAACTGGTATTTGATCACTGCATCCATTACCGCCTATGTAAAATGAGTCAAACTGAACTGAAAGCTGAGATGCTTCCAATGAGTTAAAAACTGTATTGGAGAACAGCCCTAAAATATTATAAACTGAATTTCTAAGCCACCCAGTAGAGGTAAGTCTCTTGTTTAAAAGGGTTAGTACCTGGTTGATATAAAAAGTCAGGTAAAAGTAGCCTTGTAGATACAAGATTCCCTGAGCTCTACATCATTTGAGGATGTTAGCTTTAAAAATGTGTCTCACCTCAATGAAATGCCCTGTATACAAAAACCTGTCAAACATACAACGTATTTTTCAAGCTAGATGACCAATTTTAAAAGGAACAATTTACAGCAGATAAAAAAAATACATGACGGATATATTACTACCATTCCAACTCTTATTGAAATATTAGAAATATGAGGTTTGAAAAAAAACTGTAACAGTACAACTGAACACAATGAAAGGGGGCCACAAATATAACATTTGCTCGAACCTTTTTGGATTAATAGAAAGGACACTAGACAAAGCATTGCCTGTTTTTTTCATATTTGTTTACTTTGTGCATTTAACTACCATTCATTTACATAGAGTCAGACAACCCCTTTGTATGGCTTTTTCATACAAAACAGTGGGGAACGATTACTTTTCCTGTAAAGAAAATGTGACAAATTGGCAGGGAAAGTTAGGCACAAGTTCAGTACCTCAAAATACCTTTTTTAATTACTTGATTGAAGGAAGCTTTTCAGTTTTAAAGTTTCATTTACACATTTACCTAAAATCTTAAACTCACTTTTCATATTCACTGTGGTCTACCGAACGTGAAAAATAAAAAGGACTGTTGCTACAAACCAAGAGTCTCATCTAGTGGATTACAACTGTTTTAGAGCACTTTTGAGCTATAAGACTGCACAAAAATGAAGTCATTCACTCTGACCCACAGATCACAGCAAAACTCAAATACTGAAGCTGGTGCTTTATCATGTTACCACAATGTCAAAGAGTTCAAAACAAGAATTTTTTATTTCTTTCATGATCACGAAGAGAATGAGGCCTCTCATTTGGAGAAGTTAAACGTCTCATAGGTCTCAACTTCCGTTTTTACAAAGGTGCCAGTTTGCTAACAATCACCAATTCTTCATACCACCACCATTTTCATTACTTACTGGATTATTTTTCTGTTTTGTTAAAGGGTAAATTTCTGCCATGTCAGTAAATACATTTTGGTGTTGCAAGATTTATAAAGAAGGCTTACCTGGCCCATTTGATAAGATAAGGGAGATGGTTTAGTAAATTAAATGTATAAAAGGAATAACGGATAATCTCTGTGACTGTCCAGGCAACAACAAATAAGAGCACACTGTCTTCACTCTGTACCTATTAAAGAGAGAAAGAAAATATACCATATAAATTGAGAAATGTTACTACTCATACACCAAGAAATACTTCACAAAGAAATTAATCCTTACAGATGGTTTCAGCACATCAGTTACAAGAATGAATTCCAAATATTTTAAGAGCAACATAAGTGCTTTTGCAATTGTATTTAGAATTAATAAATAAAATTGTCAATAATGAAAAATTCACAAGAAAATTAGACAATGTGAACAGTGTAAACCTGCTGCCTGAACACTATGGTTTGTATTCATGGCTCAACTATGCTATGCCCCTGTTAAGTCCAAGTGATGTGCAGAAAATGGAACAATTCAGTAACCTGCCAGATATATACAGATAGTCTAACTCCAGTTTAATTCTTGCTTTCTACCCCACAAAGCAGATGATATTAGATTTAGTTAAAAGATGAAGGGCGGATAACGACTGGGGTACAACTCCTAGGGCTTGAAGAGATTTGGTCCAACTTCCTGCTTTGTCACAATTTCTCGTGTGACCTTTGACTTTAGTTGACCACAGTTTCTGTGTGCCTCAGGCCCTCCATCTGCAAACTGGGAATAATAGTATCTCCTTACCTTAGGAAGAAGTTATGAGGCTAATACATTCAAAAGCGTGAGGCATTCACATACTGTGTTGACGGCAGCCCCATCAGTAGATAGATTTACACAATCCCATATGTTTAGTTCTGTGTGATTTAGAATTTATTTTGGAAAATATTAACTCATCACAGAAGCTGGCCAAGGGAAAATTACAGGTTACTAGTTTGATTCGGAAAAAGGGGGAACTCTCCTAGGGAGACAGAAGTCTATATTTCAATTTTAGACACTAATTAAAAGGCTGAGGCAGGACCTCTCTAAACTCAACTATCTGCCTTTCCCTACTTTGGCTCCTTTTCTACCACAAGACCTAGCACAATTTCCACTAAAAGGATCATTTAAAAAGCATCCTTGGATTTCAGTGTAGATACAGAAGACTGGGACGTTTCCTACCTCTCAGAGCTGGTGTTTGGGACATATCACAGAATCTGTGTTACTCTATTCACATTCTGAAGGCTACATTCACAACCATACATCTCTTTTTTAAAGTGCTAGATTAGATTTGGGAACGCAACTATCTGTCAAATTTGAAAAAGAACAGCAACTTCATGGCAGTTTGTGTGGCCATATAATTGTATTATGAACTGCTGTAACCTGTCATGCATAATAGGTATTTCAGCAAACATTTTTACACTTAGTTTTTTCCAGTAGCGCCATGCATTCTCTCAGCTGTATTAGAACCCCGAGCCAAGCTTTACTAGAGTGTGGGAACAAAAAAACCTCTTCAACCAGTGCCTGCTTATTTTCCTTTCCCCTCCACCCCCAATTCTTTGGGAAAAGGAAGTCACTTGATGCAAATGATACAAACAACTCACAAAGGGTAAAGTACGTGCGCACACACAAAAAAGAGGAACAAGAAAAGATATGGGCCCATTGAAACCTTTGCACATAAACAGAGGTGATCATATGTTTGCTTGTAAAAAGCTCAGGGGGACTATAGGTAAAAAGGCATTTTTAGTAAACAGACTGCAAAACGTGACCTTACATAAGAAAATGCAGCAGCTCCAGAAAAGGCTCTTGTTATTATTCGTGACTATAATACTTATATTTCAAGCAGCTTCTACCTCACTTGATAGCAAATTTTCTGCGTCTCTTTTGACATGAAACCAATTGCTTGCATGTTGTATAGCAATTCCTCTAGTTTCATGTATAAAAAAGGGATCTTCAGGGAAGGGGACTGCATTTGCCCATCTATTTCTAGAGAATGGAATCTGAAACCCAACTGGGACCTTTGGATGCTCTTGCTTTACAGACAGCAGGGCTGACTCCTCAACTAGAAAGAAGTACAAGTATTGCAGAGATGGCAGTGTTTCCCAGGCCAGGCAGACTTCACAGCACTCAACAGCTGCACCTTCTGGCCAAATTAGGAGCAGGATTTAATTAGTTCATTTCAGTCGCACTGTTTCACAAGGGAAAAGAATGTATCCTGGTGACAGTTTAATCAGACAGGTCATTGTACAAGCCTTCACCTGCCTTGGGATCAGAGGGGCTTAAGGGTGGACATGAGCAACAAAACTGTGGTTAGATATATCACAAAAATTGAAGGTGTGAGTTGAGGGCGGGGAAGGGGTGGAAAAGACGACCGGGACAAAGAGCAAAACTGGTTCTTATGCTCGGTGACCAAAGCACACAGTTTGAGAAGAGGGAGAAACTCTTCGCTATTAAATCTGTGGTATAACTCTTCTGTAACCATGGCTTTCTCAAATCATAACTCTTTTCATTCCCAATCTAATCTTACAGAAATGCATTTGAAAATGATTCACAGTGGTTGTAGCACTGCTACAGGAACCTGCTTCTATATCTAATCAGCCAAACAAACAACATTGGAAAACAGTTTAGTGGGAAGCTTATTAAACTGTTTTAGAACAGTCTGCAAATCGTGAAACAAAGACGCAGGTGACTAGTATTCCTTTCTTTACCATGCTTCTTCCAATGTAATTATCCCACTAGAGAAAGAACGAGGTTCCAGATTAATTATCAGCATGCCTGTTGGTAAATATTTATAATGACTAGAACTCCTCATTGTGTGTGTAGGGTTTTTCTTTTAATGCTTCAAATGAAACAGATTTGTGAATCCATCTGAAAAGCGCATCAAACCTCAAAAGATCTGATTTGCTAAACAGCCTCATTCAATAATAAAGAATCTCATTCAATCAGACACAGCTTGCACCAATTCAGCACAAATATCATCCCTTTCCCTAGAAGAGCATATCTGGGGCAGTGTAAGAGAGTGATTGCAGGGTTATACTTAGTGGCCATGTGCTCTCTGCAAAAAAAAAAATCACTGGACTCTTATTAAAAATCCCTCTTCATTTTATTTTTGACTTAAAAATATACTGCTTTCCCTGTAGACATTTGAATAAACCTTTAGTACTGCATTCAAAGCATTTCATGCTCTTAATATGACTGATCATTTAACATGCTACCTTAACTAAGCTGTTCAGACCATGGTCTAAACTGTTGTTGACAGCTGTTTTAAAGTGATTCATCGCCAATGTGGGTTCTGCACTTATTTTTTGATTATCTTGATGACTGTGAATAAGAGGCAGTCTTTATATTAGTTAAGAAAAACTGTTAGAATACAAAATGAAGATTCATAACTCACGAAATGACAACTAAGATTGTTCATGCAACCTCTATCGTTGTTTCCTCTCGCAGATGCATGAAAGGGGTTGTAACCGTACAGTGTAGGAACAAAGAGAGAACTTGACCTTTCTGGGGAGGCAGGGTGTGAAATTTCTACTGGTAGATGTCAGTCAGCAAAACAATTCAGGCATTTGGTGTGTGGCCTTATTTAAAAATCAATCAGAAAAAACAAAACAAAACCCAGAAACTAATCCTGGGGAAGAAGCCATTCCAGAAAGAAAATTCAGTCCACAGGATGAACACATCACAAAGCCACAAATGATTGAAAAATGGGCAGAGTTTAAAATAGAAACACTAAACAACTTCAGTTCCCTCCACAGTATATATATGTGGTCTTCACACAGAAAATGGGGGTTTAGAAAAGATGCATGGGTCTTGATAATGCACTTAAATCTACTGGCAGATGACTACAAAAATTACACTGATGTAAAACCAGAGCATGCAGTCATGATTAACTCACAATGTTCTGTCACTGACTGTCAAACTTTTAGTGTGGACTTTGTCTCATCAATACCAATAAATGCTACAGACTAAAAAGTTCTAACTATCCCAGAGCAATAAACTAAGCTATTAGCACAGTTAAATGGCAGTCTCCCTTTTCTCAAGTATTTTTTGGTATACTCGGCTAATAGCAGATGGCAGTTTCAGACCTAGACTGACGTTTCATCTACCCACACAAGATACTGTAAAGCACAGATATACTTCCCTAAAATACTTTGCTACAATTCAATTGTTTTCTGAAAAGGCTAGTTTTAAAAATTAGAAAGCTTATATACATTATACCCACTGTTCAACTTTTTAGTAGGATTTGAGTGGCGTTGTAGCCAGGAGGGTCCAGGAAATATATGACAACCAAGGATTTCCCTTTACTGAATCTTTATCAAAACAACTGCAGGGTGGATAAAAATCAACAATTTAAAAAAAAATATCAGATTTTAAAATTTAAATCAATTTCTTTATTTAATTGTATTTTAATGTTTTTGTTAAGATTTTTTTTTAAACATAAACCTATATATAGATAATTTTAATTTAAGATATGCTAGAGCTCAAAGATGTCATCATGGAAGAGGTATTATAACTTCTAATTATATATGATTTGAGACTATATTCATGTAACTTATTTATAAAACTTTTCTAAATAAGTCACAACAGGCCATGGATTATATTAGGGGCCCAATCTTATGGGGTTCCCAGAGGCTCTTCTATAGATTAGAAAAGATTATAGAAAACCCAGTGGGAGTCAGTGCTCAGCCTTGCAGATCCCTGTAAGCATCTCTCTGATGCTTAGTTTTAGTTCTCAAACTCTGGATTTGTGCCTCCAGAGATAACATCCTTGTTAACAGCAGTATATAGAGATGAAAGATAACAGACTGGATTACCCACCCATCAGGTCTCTCTGCAAGTTTTTGTACAGAGACAAGCCCTTGCCTCTTTCTAAAAGTGCAAAGTTTCAAGAAGTTAAATGAATAGAGGCTTATTGGGGGGGGAGTAGATCTGGGCAAGGAGGAGGAGTCTGGAGAGAAATGCAGGAGGAGGGCAGGGCAGTAGAAACAAGAGAGAAACATTTTGAGCAGAATATTCCATAAGTCTTGATGGATAAGTTTCTGAGTACAGCCTCTCCATTGATTTGAGATCTACTGAGTGAATGGTATGGTAGAAGGGAAAACCTATCACGGTAGCAGGCTTGCCAGACCATGAAAGAGAGCCTGTCTGGGAATATTTTAATGAAGGTTATATCAAACAACAAAAATGCACTTTTGGTAGAAAACAATCATTAAATCAAGGCTTACTGACCAGTGGTTTAATTCATAAATTAAAATCAATTTGATTTAAACCAAATCCACCCTGACCAACTGTACTAATTTTTTTTTAAATATTGGACTTGAGGAAGGGCACTGTTTGCTTGAAAGTGCATCTAGCACCTCTCTCAGCTGTTTAATTGGTTCCATACAAGTTCCCATAATAATAATGCTTTTCTACTGGAGTGAGAAATCATCAAGCAACATTACACACAAGCCACTGACAAATCACCAGATGATTCCATCGTTGTCATTGATGATCTACATAAAACAGGGAACATAAAAAACTAAAAAGGCTCTATTATTCCACTACTTACTTTTAACTGAGCTATTCATTCCTGGCCATTCCTTCCTTTTCTTATTCATTGTCTTAATACCAGGACTCACCAGAGGCTAAATAGATTCTCATAAATACCTGCTGGACAGCATGTACTGTACCACACACTGGACCTGCCCCACATAGCTAACAACTGCCATGTCCCAGCTGACTGTAGAAAAAGAATCTAATCGCCCCACAAACAGTGAACAAAGAGCAATGGAAGTTTACCATGCAGCTACAGTTGACTGTTATATTTAGGAATAGGATAACACCAGACAAAAATATCATGAAAGCACACATACGTTAAGAGCAAGAATCATGCTTCAAATCACGTCAAAATAGGTTTTTAAATGGTCAAAAGAACAAGAAAATATGTTACTAATGTTTCTTCTTCCAAATAATGAACCATATCTACAAGCAATCTGAATAAGCAGGATATTAAATGCTTCTCACTCAAGTTAACATAAAAACTGAAGTGTATTATAAAACCTCATGCATCCACAGGTCTTACTAAATCCACACGGGTGTGTAAGAAATTAATCCTGGATTTCGTCAAGGATCTCACTTGTCCAGACAGCCCTTTAGAAAAAGCAGAAAACTCTCATGACAGTGCAAAAACATCTACCCAGATGCTATGGCATCATTGCTGGTGCACAAAATCGACAGACTCTCCTCACCTGACCTGCTCTCTGCTTTACTGTTACTGTTCTGGGTAGTAGAAAAGCCATTCTTTAAGGTAGCTAGCTTTACCTAAGTCCTCGCCATTCATAAACCTAAATCTTAGGGTAATAAAACAGTAGCACAGACAACTCAATCCTTAATGATTCTGGTGTGAAGACTGAAAAAAAATATTCAGCATGGATAAGTCCTTTACCATTATTCTTGCATTAAAAGAACCATTCAGTCCAAAATACAACAAAACTGGCAAGGATAGTTTCATATATTGTCTAAGGGGGTTTCTTAAAGAATTAATGTTTTAGATTAATCAATCTATTTCCTGAAGCCTTTGCTTTTTAGCTTACTTGAAATTAGGCACTTACCACCAGTAAGGTTTCCCACCCCACACTCCCCCTTTAGAGCTGATAAAGACCCTAACTATAATTATCTGGATTCACAGCGAGACCTGTCAGTAGAGCACAGTATTTACTCAAGCGTTTTGCATTTTTATTGAAAAATGTTTTAAGTCTCTCTCTGCTTCCCCAGTAATTGTATTAAACTGTGTGAACTAGAATACTAAATGAGCAAGCATCATGACAGTAGGAAGAAAAAGGTCATGGTTGTAAGGCCTTATAATTAACATATGTGCATGGGCAAGCTAGGAAAAACAAATATAGGAATAAGGAAAATGTAGTAGAAAGCTTTGCAGACTATGGCAACGGGGACACATACTCTTAGGTATCTGTCCATAAAAGGAATACAGGAAATAATTAGCCAATAATGAACTAAGATGTACTTTTGGCAAAAAGTTATACCAGAAGTAACTTCAATCTTTGATGAGACAACTAGTCTAGGAAACTTTATAGATGTAAAATAATTCTGAGGTATTTCACTTGGAAATGCCCAACAAACATTCTGATGAAAAAATAACAGTAACAGGTGAAAGCACACGCAGATGGAGTAAGAACTCGGTAGCAGATCTCCATGAAGTGATTCTCAGCAGGATATCATCAAATATTGGTGTTTCTGTAAGGTTCCACCTGGATCAGGACTAGGACCACTACTTTAGACACCGCTGATGAAACGTGCAGATGATGCAGTCTGGCTAGTAATGAGGACAGCACAGACTGCAGATCTTCTGGTCTCCTATGCAAGTTGGAGCCATTCAAATAAAACACATCTTAAGACAGGCACATTTAAAAGGTATAGAGAGAGGAAGGAAGGATGCAGACCATATTTTCAGAACTGGGGAATATATCCTAGAAAACAGTACTCATAAAAATGATTTAAGGGTCATGAAGATCTCTTTTAAGATCTTAGTTAGGCTTCTGGGGCAGACGGAGGTAGAAAGCATGAGCTTTGGTTTTGTTCATTTGTCTTTTCCTGGGCACGTGTAAGACAATAAAGAAAACTTACCAAAATCATGGTCGGTTTAAAAACCCAACAAAATCCACTCTGACCATCCTGACAGCATTGTTCATATACTATATTCTTTTCTTCTATTTTTTTTTATAAATTAATATTCTTATATAATCTTCCTACACATTTGGACAGTCCATGTCATACTTTAGGAACTATTATAGTACATTTAACTATTCTTGTTGTTTTCTTTATCATTAAAAGGCAAATGACTACCTTTTAAATATTTCATCTCTGTACAAGGAAAACAATATTAGAAATTTTGTTTAGAAAAGGGATGGGAGCTTCTTAGAGAATGGGAATATGGCTGCAATGCTTGACCCTGCTCCAGCTCTGAGTAAAAGCTTTGCTATCTGCTTCAATGAAAACAGAATGAGGAGCTGAATGGAAAAGGACATTATAAATTATCAAGATTCAGGATACAGCAATTCAGTGCTGCCCAAATCAAAATTACACAGTGGGATCGAGTGCCATGAAACAATGATGAAAGGAATTCCCGTGAGAAATTTCACTAAGAGAGTGACAATCTCTTACTGGCTCTAGTAGCTCCATGACCTGTTTACAAAATATTTCCCAGAATATTTAAGTTTCGGTAAATAGCAAATTAAATATTGCATCTTCCCCATCAAAACCTAGACCAGGGTGATAAAATACTCATTCTGGAAAGGAAGAGCTTGGATTCAACTACAAAACACTTAAGAGTTCAGAAGACTGTAAAAGGGAGAAAACAAAAGCGGAACGAATGGTTATGATCCGAAGAAGTCCTGTAGTATCTGGAAAAACAGCAGGTTATTCTATTTTGCTTTATACTTTTATGTGGAGGGTGTCACCACAAGTGAAGTAAAATACCAACAAGCAAATTTTTCCAACCATTTCAGTAGCTTTAGGATGGTGCACAAATATAATTAGGGTGTCAGAAAAATAGAATACTGCATTATAATGAATGTGATTTGAGCTGAAGTCAAATATTCTTTTCTTATGTAGAGAAACTCATATAAACTACTTTTATATTGGGAGGAAAGAGAAAAGGGAGGAGGGAGAGAACATTTGTAAATAAAGCAAGACTATGACCAATATTAACTTCTTGCTACCACTCACCCATTCGTCCTTCATTCTTTATTGGTTCACTTACCTCTTTTACACTGTGTGTCACTGCCCATGTCAAAAAAACCCTTGACATCACCTGGAAAGCAGTCAGGACAACGGAAGAGGGAACGATGCCTGCAAAATATTTTAGGATTGGTAAGCATGTTCACATGAACTATATCAGACAAACAGATTTAATAAAGCAGAATTTATCAAAACTACAGTCATCCTGAATTTTTAGAATGCAAGGACTTGAACTTAAAAATTAAATATTCAGTTTTTGGAGCAGTATCGGTTTTCCATGACAAGTTTGTAGAGCCTAGTACACTAGAATCACCTGCAAAGCTGACTAATTAGCTCCGCCGTAAAGTGTCACTGTCTACACATGCACCTGTATTACGGCACAGTAAATTAACTAACTCTGCCGTAGGACAGTGGTGTTTGGGACAAGTACTACCCTACGGTGGAGTAATTTACACTGCTGCAACACACATGTAGGTTGTGACCAGGGCTGGCCGGGGCACAAGGGTGCTGTAGCGTTGGGGCTGCCTGCCATGCACTGTAGCACCCAGCCAGCCCTTCCGCCATGACCGGGGCTGACCCCCTGCGGCTGCTGCCAGCCCAGGGCTACTCTGCCCTGGCTTTAACTGCTGCAGTCCCAGGCACACACATATACACTGCACTAGAAGCCGCCGACTACAATGCAAACTGTGCTGGAGTTTATTGCTCCATGCTAATTGCATGTGTAAATAGATACCCATAGCCCACATCCACACAAGTGTGGACATTTGTTCCTCCAGCCAGCCAGGCTCCAGTTTTGGGCAGCGCACACTGCCACCGGTGTGTGCCGCCCTGTTTTTTTTTGGTGTGGGTATTTTTAACCCCGGTATCTCCTGGGGTCAAAAAATACCCCTGCACTCCTATGTCTGTGCTCATCTAGATGCAGCTATAGAGTTCAACATGGGATGTTCATCTAGTTCAACAATACAGATAAGGGAACATACGGGGGGGGGCAGGAAATCTGATCTACTTGCTCATTTAGGACACATCAACCATGAGGTATCATTTTTCTTTTTAATCAACTGTTGCTTCATGACAACTAAGACCATGAAAGACAGTAAACAGATTCCAGAACTGAAATTAATTTTTATGCTGCAAACAAAACCTGGTGAAAATCTTAGTTAGCTTCACAAGGTTCTTTGCGTGAATCTCATATCTTGTATTAGACCAACTTAAATAGTTGGAAAACAATTATTAAGCAAGCTTTCGGGTTCAAAAACCCTTCATCAGGCTAAGGAAGTTTCAGCAGTTGCTGTGTGCTCTTCCTGGATGGAATGAAAAGTAAAGAAGCCAGAGGCTGGGCTGGTCTGCATACAAGAAGGGTAGTCAGTGAAAATGTAGATTGAGGGTCAAAGGGTGAGAGACAGGCTGGGGGGTGGGGAGAGAGAGAAGGGGGATGAATAGTGAAGAGATACCTGGGGAGTCAGATGTCAGGCAGGTTGTGTGTCATAAATCCAATGTCTATATTTAGTCCATGATTTTTAGTATCCAGGAGGTTGATGAAGTGGAGTTCATAAGCTCGCCTCTGGGAAGTGTTTTGGAAGTTTCCTTTGAGGATCAGGACTGAGAGATTGGAGAGAGAGTGGTTTTCTTGCGAGAAATGTGCCCCCACAGGTAATCGAGTATTCCTGTCTTTGGCAGATTTCCGCTGTGCATTCGTTCTGGTGCACAGTTGTTGTTTGGTCTCTCCTACGTATTTTCCATCAGGGCATTTGGTGCATTGGACGAGATATATGACATTTCTGGGGGTGCAGCTGTAAGATCCAGGAATGCTGATGGCTCTGTTGTGGGGTGTCGTAATTGTGGGGGTGGTGGAGATGTGTTGGCAGGTTTTGCATTTCCTGTCATGGCATAGTCTGGATCCTTTTGGTGTGTTCTGGGCTTGAGGAAGTTTGCTTCTGGTGATGAGGTTAGCAAGGTTTGGTGCTTGTTTGAAGGCTACGATGGGTGGCTCTGGGAAGATCTTCTTTAGAGTAGGGTCTCTTTCTAGTATGTGTTGCAATTGTTTGAGGATTTTTCGTACGGGTTCGAGGGAGGGGTGATATGTCATAACCAGCGGTGTGCAATTTGTGGGGGGGTTTCTTCTGTACTGCAGCAGTTCTTCACGTGGTATCTGGGTGGTTCTTTCAAATGTGCGATCTCTCTCTCTGGAGGAGTGTCCTTGTTAGGTGAAAGCTGTTTTAAGATTGGTGAGGTGGCAATCCCGGGTGTTCTCTTCAGTGCAAATTCGCTGGTATCTGAGGGCTTGGCTGTATATCACAGCTTTTATGGTGTGTTTAGGATGATTGCTGGTTCTGTGCAGATATCTATGTTGGTCTGTGGGTTTCTTGTATAATGAGGTCTGTATTTTATCATTCTGGATACTGATTGTGTCTAAAAAGGAGATGTTGGTGCTGGAGTATTGTAGAGAAAGTTGGATGGAGGGATGGCGACGTTGAATTTCTGATGGAACTCAATCAGAGATTGCAGGTTTTCAGTCCAAATGATGAAGATGTCATCAATATATCTTAAGTATAACAAGGGTTTTATGGCGCAGTTCTTGAGTTAGCTTCTGCATTCAGCACTTTGTAAAGCTCAGTGCCACATTCAACACGTTGGAGCTCCCAAAACAGCTCCAAGGAACAAAGTTCCTTGTTAGGCATGCTCTCTCATCCAGCTATCTTCCAGTGAATCCATAAACATGCCAAAAAGATCTGTGAAACAATTCTTTAGTAGTATCTCAAGACTGCGCAAAAGCAGCACCGTCTCACCCACGGTGAAATGCAAGGGTCTACGTCTTAAATGGAGATCAAATTAATTAAGCGGGCAATTATGATAGTGTATATAACAAAACAGGACAGACCAAACAACAACTGTGCCCCAGAATGAACGCACACCAGAAATCTATCAAAGACAGGAATTTCCAGTTACCGGTGGGGGTCCATTTCTCACAAGAAAACCACTCTCTCCCCAATCTCTCAGTTCTAATCCTCAAAGGAAATTTACAAAACACTTCTCAGAGACGAGCTTATGAACTTCACTTCATCAACCTCCTGGACACTAAAAATCATGGACTAAATATAGACATTGGATTTATGACATATTATATATAACCTGCCTAACATTTGACTCCCCAAGTACCTCTCCACTATTTAACTGCTACATGCATCCCCCTTCTCCCCCCACCCACTGACTCCTCAATTTACATCTTCACTGACTGCCATCTTGCACATATAGTACAATTGCAACTTACGCAGGGGTTACGTTCCGAGGTCAGCGCGTATAGCTGAAATCGCCGGGCTCGGCGCCAAGCAGCCGCCACCGCCGGACCCGGACTAAGTGGCTAGCTAAGCGTAAGCCCCCCAGGCCCCAGCCATGCCAGCACGTGCAGGCAATACCACACGGCGCCGCACAGCACTGCACTATGCACCATGCCCTGGCCAGCACCTGGCAGCCAGCCCCAGCAGCCGAGCGCATAAAGCCGAATTTGCGTAAATTAAATACGTGTAAGTTGAGACTGTACTGTATACCAACCCAGCCTCTGGCTTCTTTACTTCTCATTCCATCCAGGAAGAGCACATACCAACTGCAGAGACTTCCTCAGCCTAACGAAGGGTTTTTAAACCTGAAAGCTTGCTTAAATTTTTTTCCCCCAACTATTTAAGTTGGTCTAATAAAAGATATCATATTCACCCAAAGAACCTTGTCTGCCTATAACAAAGCAGGCATTCATCAAGCTACCAGCCAGCACCAAGATACCTCCTGATAATGAAACTTTAAATATCGACACTAGCATTATGTATTCTAGGACTGTTTTCACCATAGCTATTAACAAACGAAAGGATTGCACTTCATTGTTTCTGTATGCATAGCTCAGCGAACACATGCCATCTGCATCCCATTCTCTGTTCCCCCCACACTAGCTCCATGTGCCACTTCTCCAACCCCAGCTACATAAGGCACCATCAGTCAGGCCTGCCCCTACCCCCACCTTCACTCCAGTGGTCCTATCTTCCCACCCATGCCTGAGGTAGCTTGTTCCTTTCTATGATGTTTGGCCTGCATTCTCTCTTCATTCACTAGGCTCCTCATGCCCTGCCAGCCCTCCTTTTCTCACCCGTGCCCCAGGCTCTGTGTCCCTCCACTCTTCACTCCATTATATGCCACGGTTCTGTTCCAACAATCCAGTTGTCCCTCTTTCTCCAAATGCCACTTACCCATTCCCCTATTTCAGGATGCCATCATTAATTTCCCATCACCTTTTTGTTCTGAGGGATGTCATTCTGAGCATCAACAATTCAATACACGGTTCAAGCTAATGTCTGCTACATAGATCCCAGGTACTCTATGTTCCCCAGTTCCCCTTTCAAGTGTGCACCAAAATCAATACAATTCTGACCATTAAAGCCTCGAATATCCCCTGCAGGGCAGGGTGGCACTGCAATGTACAGATGCATTTGATAAACACTGGTGGTGTTGCCTGCAAAAGCTTATGCCTCCCTGAACCAGGAAGTCTCTAAGGCTGTGTCCAGATGAGCACAGCCATGTGGTATGTGGCACCAAAGACATATCTGCAGCACCACATACTGCACATTCAGGTGTTCTCTGCAGTGCAACGTAGCAGTGCCGGGTGGGGTAGGGAGGGTTGACCCCACTGTGGCAGAGCACAGGTTGTGCCTGCCACCTTAAGAGGTTTCAGGCAGGCTTTGGATAGCTGGCAAATGTGGTTTGGCCTAATTAGATGGTCATATGACTGAAAGGGGGCCACCAGATTGCAGGAGGGCTGGGCAGCCTCTGTATAAGCCCAGGGCCTAGGAGCAGAGCTGGCAGTTAGACCTAGGGAGCCAGAAGTGCAGCATCACTCAGCCTGCAGACTGCAGCTCCCAGAACACCTGGAGGTCAGGGGAGGAACTAGGGGATGGAGGAGGTTCCTGGTCCTGGGGCATGACCTGAAACTGCACCATGCTGGGATTGGATGGTGTGATGGGGCTGCTTGTGGCAGGGCAACGTCCAGGAAATGCCACATCTGTGCCTTCCCAGTGAAAGGCGAGGATGGGGTGACAGAAAACCTCAGCCCCTGCTGCTCTGTGGGTACC